GATCATTGCAAGAAGTAGAGGAATCCTTTTTAGACATGTTAAAGATAGAACTTTTCTTTTTAGATGCCTTGGTGGAGGTAGGACTAACGACTTCAAGATTAGCAACTTTATTAGTTAGCTCATCACAATGTTTGCACATAGTTTTCATTTTTGCAAGCAAACTTTTATAAGCATCTTGTGAGCTAGCTAACTTTTCTTTTAATTTTTCATTTTTCTTTACAAGTTGCTCATCATTTATTGTGCATTCATTTGTTGTTGCATTAGCCTTAAGTTGCTCAATTTTAGTAGATAGTTCAACATTGAGATTAGCAAAGTTCCCATATTGTTCAAGCAAAGTTTTGTATGCTTTTTGTAAACTATCTAGCTTTTCTTTTAAATTTTTGAGCTTCTTTTGTTGACTAGTGTAAACTTTAGCATATTTAAGATTTTGTTGCACAATTTCATCATAAGAAGGCAAATCATCATCACTATCACTCTCACTAGAGGATGAGCTTTCGTTACCTCGTGCCATAAGGCACACACGAGAAGAGCTTGATGATGAGTGATTGCGGCCTTGTCTCTTGTGATGGTGTTCTTCTTCACTTGAAGAATCATCCCATGATCTTATTGAGTTGAGGGCTTGGTTCTTGCATACCTTCTTCTTTGTCTTGGGGTGGGCTTGTTTGGACAAACTTCCACAAAGTGCCCCAACTCGCCGCATCCATAGCATCTTCTCTTTCTTTGCTCATTTCTTTGATTTGTGAAAATGAGATCTTGAATTTGGATGGGCACACCCTTGACATTGAGCCTTTGGATCATCTTCTCCACCTTGTTGATTAATTTGATTGATTCTTCATCAAGGTCGGAGGTGGAGGAGGAAGATTGATCATCACTTGAATCTTCATCATCATCACTGTCCTCATCTTCTTCTTCATCTTCACTTGAGGAGCTTGAGCTTGAGCTTGTCTCAACTTGCTTGCCCTTCATCTTCTTTTTCTCGCTACATGCTAGAGCTTTGCCTTTGCTTGATGAAGAAGCTTCTTCTTGACCATCTTACGTGACATTTCAAATGCCACTAACTTGCCGATGACTATGCCCGGGGTCATGGTGCTTAAGTCCTCCATATTGTGAAGGATGGTGATGATGCTTGCATATTTCTTTTGTGGTAGCACGGAGATGATCTTCCTCACGATATCCGCATCATCTAGCTTTATTAATCCTATTGAATGGAGCTCATTGATAATTAGATTCAAACATGAATACATATCACGAACATGCTCATCATCATTCATTTTAAAGGAATCATAATTTTGTTTAGCTAGACAATGTTTTTGCGCACGGACATTACTTGTGCCGTCATGGAGCTCTTGGAGTTTTAACCAAATTTCATGTGCCATATTTAAAGTAAATACTTGGTTAAACACATCCATGCTAAATGATTTAAACAAGCAATTCTTAGCTCTAGCATTGAAATGCATTTCTTTTTCATCATTCTTTGTGGGTTTTTGGAATTCTTGATGGGTTTCATCCTATCACGAGTGACTCTCCATACACCCAAATCAACCGCCTCAAGGTGGCAAGCCATTCTAGCCTTATAATAAGGGAAGTTAGTGCCGTCAAAGTGTGGAGGCCTAGAGGTATCCATCGCAACCACTCTAAATGGCGTCGGCTCAACGACGGTTAAGCCAAAGGTCCAAATTGAGCCAACCGGCTCTGATACCAATTGAAGGGACCGTGACGCCTAAGAGGGGGGGTGAATTAGGCGTCATAAAAATCTAACTCTAAACTATGGCCTCTTTTTCTACCCTTAGCAAAACATATGCAAAAGATAAACTATCTAAATGTGCAACTACGGTTTTGCTAATATGTTGCTATCTCTACCGCAAAGGAGTAATGTAATCAATGTAAATGCGGAAGCTAAAGAGCAAGGTAGAGATATGTAAACTCCCGTCGACGACTCTGGTATTTTTACCGAGGTATCGAGAAGCGCGCAAGCTTCCACCTAGTCCTCGTTGGAGCCTCTCGCAAGGAATCCCTCGCAAGGGCCAAGCTCCCGGTCGGGTAACTCCGTGGATAGCCTCGGGCCTTCCCCATGCGCAAGTGAGTCTCCGACATGCCTTCCGGCAAGCCTCTCCCGGATGCTCCCCGCCGTCTTCACTATCAAGCTTTCGACCGAAATGCCGCGGGCCTTGTTCCCTCCGGTATACGGTGGCGGCCACACCACAAACGTGGTTGGTGTGATCTCGCAAGACTTCAAGCCCCTCCGATGTACAATAATGGTGCTCGCAAGCACCGAGTGGTAAGAGGTATGTAAACCTCACTAAACACTAGGCCTAAACTTAGAGCAAGCGCATAAGCGGTGGTCTAATCAACCTAAGAACTTCGCAAAGCACCTACGCTAATCACCTAATGAATCACTAAGCACTATGCAAGTGGAGATCACTAAAATGGTGTATCAACACCCTTGGTATGTTTCCTCAGCTCCACACACCTCATTTGACCGGTTGGGGGTTGTATTTATAAGCCCCACTGAGAAAGTAGCCGTTGGAGACAAAATCCTGCTTTTCTGCTACTGACCGGACTCTGACCAGCGTTCGGTCACGAAAACGGCTCTCTGGAACCTTACTGATGTTGACCGGACTCTGACACTCAGCGTCCTATGCAGCGTCCGGTGCAGCATCCAGTTGTTGTTGTTGACTCTGCTGTTGCCGAACCTTTTGATCGGAGTGTCCTGTGCAGCGTCCTGTGCATCGGAGCGTCCTGTGCAGCGTCCTGTCATATCTGTGAGCTCGTTTCTTCGCGATCTTGCGTCTGGCTTAGTTCCTATCTTCGTGCTTGGACTTTGCTTGATATCTTGGGTTTTCTCTTGTGCTTCTAAGGTCTTGCTTGAGGTGTTTGATCATCGGATCATCACGTTGCTTTTGTCCAAGTCACATCTTGCATCCTATTGAACTACAAAACAATCACTTGCAAATTCATTAGTCCAATTTGGTTGTGTTGATCATCAAACACTAAAATCCAAAGTAAATGGGTCAATGATCCATTTTCCTTACAGACGGGTAGACATCATAATGTTGTCGTCTCATATGATGAAACACACAACAATTTGATCAGGTGAACGTGGCTACCTATTTGCTTGGGTTTTAATCAAAACATCAGTCAATGCACGATAATTTGATCTGGTGAAGGTACCCCTAGGACACTTATTACCAACATTGATGACCTGACCAATCTAGGGTAATTGTTTGCTTCGGTTCTTTTATTCAGAAACTTTTATGCTAATAATATTCCGAAGATGCTTGTATATTCATCTTAGTACTTGAGCTGACTGTAGTCAAGTGCTACATTCAAATCATACACTATGACAATTGTTCAGGATAAAATGGTTATGATAAACAATATCGTCAACGATCAATAGACAATGGTTTTTGTGTTCATTATGTTTAATAGAATTTCAGCATACACTGGATGCTTAACACTTTTCCCTGTACTAGTCCAGTTTGGCAGCCTGAAACTTGAAGGGGTCATCTCATTGTGAGGAAAGGGCAATTGTACAATTACACGCAGACCTGTACTACTCCAGTTTGGTACCCTGAAATATTTGATGATAGTACAAGGACATACCCCGTAAATCAATTCAAGCTTTCCATCCATGTATAGTGCAACTCAAGCTTTCCATCCTAGACATGAGCTTTCCATCCATGTAGTACGCCAGTTCGGTATCTTGAAAAAATTATGTGACCCCAAAATTGCAATTCTGTTTTCGGTTGGAATTCAAAGGGTATTAAAGGAACCATGTCTTTCGTGTGTTAGCCAGAAAATACATAGGATCATGTAGATTTTGAAACCCGTAGCAATGCACAGGTATGAACCTAGTAGAGAATGATTGGGAAATGAGTTTTGGCTAGGTGTCTTGCTCATGTGCGAAGGGAGTCATACTACATAATTATTTTACCATGCCAAACAGAATGGTGGAATAGGAACGTCCACATCAGATTTGTGATGCCTCCATGGTAGCATTGTAGCACCAATGCATAAAAGGACGAATTAAAAATATTTTTTAGATACATCATTTTTACAATATTAATTAAATTAGGTTTAAAATAAGAAACAACAATCGAGGATAGCTCAATTTTGAGTAGAAGACAGCACGCAAGTGTCGCCCGCCCATCGGACCCCAAAGGGATGCTACGAAAGAATAATTGGAAAACAAGTTTTGGCTAGGCACCCTTGCTGTTGCACGAAGAGATTGAGAGGCTATTTGGATCTCGGCCACGGATAACCACGCCTAAAATGCTGCGAGGTGTAGAGGTGGCGTAGTTTTTAGGCGTCACACTCTGTGACCAGGTTTATGCTATTTAAAAAAAAGTGTGGTCTACTGAATCACCAACCAAACAAACTCTTAGATTTCTGTGGCGAGCCACAGCTGTTACGTGGCGGCTAGTGGCCGTCAACCTGATATTACAAGTCGATCTTTAGTTCTTTACCATGCCAAACAGAACAGTTGGATAGGATCATCGTAACGTCCACATCAGATTCGTGATGCATGCGTGCCAGCATTGTTAGGCAAATGCATATAGCGTCGAATTAAAAAAAAGAGAGATATACCATTTTAAAAAATAATTAAAATAGGTCCATTTAAAAAAAAAATCGACCGCGGAGATCCACGTTGCTCAGTTTTGAGTAGAAAGACAGACAGGTGTTATCTTCCCGTCGGACCCAGAAGGTTTCCCAGTCTCGTACTCAAGACGCACGGGCCCCACGCCATACACGGACGCGTGACGAATATACCACGCGTTGCCTTGGGCAAGATCCGCTCCCCTCCAGGCTCTTCCAGACCTCGCCTTCTCGCCGCTCGCGGAACCGCCGCCGCCACCACACCACTCTCCAGCCCCGCCGCCGCCGCAATCGCGTCCCCTTCTCGGCCTTGCAGAGCTTCTCGACCACCCTCGGTCCCCTCCACCTCCGAGCACCCCCGCTCCGCCCTCGCCCGGCGCCGGCGGGGAACCCGACCGAGCAGGATGGGATTTATCGGCGCGCACGGCGTGGAGACGCTGAAGCGGTACAGGTACAGCGGGGAGGACCGCTCGGTGGTGGCCAAGTACGTGCTCCAGCCCTTCTGGAGCCGATGCGTCACCCTCTTCCCGCTCTGGATGCCGTGAGTAGTCTCCGTCCCCTCTCTTTGTGCTGCGTGTGAGCGACTGAGCGCTCCAGTTCACGACCTACTATTGTTCTAATAGTGGTTAGTCCGCGCGTGCGTGCAATCCCTGGTAATGAGTTGTTTGTCCTGTGACTAGTTCCAAATCCTGTTTGGGTGTTCGATTGGTCTCCTTCTGCGTGGCTTCTTACTGGTAGGGGTCGAGTAGTTGCTGCGTCTGCCCATTCCCCAATTTGTAAGGGCAGTAACAAGTATTGCTATGTACGATCTCCCGAGAAGGATTAGTTGTTTGTGCTTGGCGGCTGTTGTGGAATATTTGAATTTGAGATGCGCAGAACCCTGTGTAGGTTGTTCCATCACTATGGTCTATGGGAGGGAATATTTCAGAAGGTATAAGGAGGCGCTTAAGATCAAGGAATTAATACGGTTGACATCTGGTTCTTATCTGAAACTGAATGGCTTTACAGGTAGTTGTGTACGGAGTATGTGTGTTAGCTTGTTATGGTATTTTACTGTTTCCATTTTTTAGTAGCCGGTGGATTCTATGCCACAAAGCAATAATAATTGCATGCACTCACCTGCTGCTAAGTGTTTGCTTGTCCCCCTGGTTTGGTGAGCAAATGTAGAAGTTTTCCTAATTATATTTGGGCAGTGAGAGAGGGGGGGATGACTTTTGAAAATGCTCACCTTCTCCTGGTAAGCTTACTTCCACATGTGAACAATGAGTTTTGACTCGATGATTTTCTTGTGCAACCAACCAATTGTGGCCTGGAGAACAAACAGCAAAGTGCTCTTAGGCTCCATGTTGCAGAGATCTGACTTTTTGGCAAATCAAGCTTAACGAATTGGCAGGAACACTGCCTTTCAATTATGCAAGAAAAGAGAGTTTGTGTACAAGATCACGGCTTGACCGCCGGACACAGAGAATCCCCATCGCAACACCTAGGCTCTCACCCCTTTGTTAAATCAAGCTTTAGCACAGTGCAAGCATCAAGTTTCATGTTGCCCGTTGTTCTTTCCCTATCAAAACTTCTGTGCTAACTTACAATTTTCTTCATTTGCATGTATGGATTCACAAATAGACCAAACATGGTAAGGGATCGATGACCACATTGTCAATTCTTCGTTGGATTCGTCTCATCTGGTGCAGTACATGGTTATGCTTTCCAACATTTCAGATCACACTCACAGGATTTTCGTTTCTAGTTCTATCAGCGCTGCTTGGCTATGTAAGTGTCTTTTTTGCTTGAACTAGTTGCAATTTTGTGAAGCTGTTAAGATCCCAACCTGTGCGTCTTTTGATGCATTCTATATCATGATAGAACCCATCATTTTTTTAAGTTGTTGCTATGGTGACCACTTATGCAGGTATATTCGCCTCGCCTTGACACTGCTCCCCCTAGGTGGGTCCATCTTGCCCATGGATTACTCCTCTTCTTGTACCAGGTCTGTGAAACTTACTAATTATGAGAATCTAAATGGACAATTAAGTCTTTTTTCTGCTTCCTTTTCCCCCTCATTTGATTACCAAATAGTAATACATTGCCAAGCAAGAGTATTTCAATTTAAAAGTTTTTGAATGCCCTGCTTTTCTTATCTTGGGATTTAGTTTCCTCCCAAGAGAGAGAAGAACCCAGGCAAACAAGGGGATTGTGTCAGTGTTAACTTTAGGATTTATGGCTAACTTATGTGGAATGAGGCGTGCTTTGTTGTTCTAGGTGGTTTAAAAATGAGTTTCATGTCAGCTTTTGCGGAACAGTCTTTGCAGCTTAGTTGTAGGTCTAGAAAATTCAATTGTAAGGGCTCAATTTAAACATGCTTTGGAATGGTCAAAATTAATAGTCACTGTCGGAAAAGATAATGGAACATGTTTCATACAGTTAAATGAGAAAGACACTCTTTTGGCACTCGCCGATGTACTAATTAGCATTAACCCTGTGCCCTTTCTGTGTTTTATTAGACTGGTACAATTTACTTTGCACTTTGCATTATTGGTACCATGCATCATCCAAAGTTTCAAACCTGTTTTGTAAACAACTATGACATTATATTAAATCTTGAGATGCAAACAACTTGGTAAACTCTAGTCTGTTCATATTAGCCAGAATGTATTTTGACATAGTATCTCCTTATTGACATTAAAAAGAAGTCCAGAATTTTATTTTTTCTATTTTGTTATCTGCTGGTATGCATAATGGTTCACTGGATGCCTGATTAAACTGGTGACTATGATGCCAGCTTGCTCATAAATTTGATGAGTTTAATAAACTATATTGTCCTATAGCATCTTGCCTTGACGGTATAATATTTCCTCCATGCTAGACTTTTGATGCTGTTGATGGTAAACAAGCGAGGCGTACTAGCTCATCAAGTCCTCTTGGAGAACTTTTTGATCATGGTACTTTTTAGCCCTCATTTTCCCTTTTCCTATCTCTATTAGCATGGCATCTTACATCTCTAAATTGCCATTTTACAGGATGTGATGCACTTGCCTGTGCTGTAAGGATTTTCTAAGCCCTTACACCTTTTCCTCCTTTGACCTTTGAGATGTTTCTCTGATTTGTTGTTAGTTTGAAGCTTTGGCCCTTGGAAGCACCTTGATGTGTGGAGAATGGACATTCTGGTTCTGGGTGGTTGCTGCTGTCCCGTTCTATCTTGCAACCTGGGAACAGTAAGACCCCTGAAACCCATTTGGTGTGTACATACTCTAATTTGAGCAAAATTTGGTATTTCCGCCCCAAATGTTACTATGTGTTCTGAATTTCTGATCACTCAATCAAATGATTAGATTTCACAGTGCTCGTTATAGTAAAAGCTTCTTAGGCTTATAGGCTCTGTACCTATTGTGGCATTAAGTTATCTCAACGTTATCTAGTTTGAATGCTGGTGAATTTCTTTTGCATGTTATTGTTTAATGTGCCATGGGATGTAATATGATAAAATGTGACAAAATAGCTCTAATGTGGATTGCTTCATGGTTACTTCCAGTCTTCCACAATATCTAGGGAACACATTGGTGACGTGGTGTTTTTTCCCCCATTTTCTTAACAAGTATGACAGTGTCTAAAAAAGTGCTAAGGCGTTAGACTGTCAGTGGGGTGAGGTTGTGCCTATCGCCTCATCATTGATTAGGGGGGCTACTCTGATCAGGCGCTAGACGGGTGGATGGTGCTTAGAACCTCAGTGCCACCTAGGCAGCCTAGAATGCCGAATTTTGAAATAGTGGTAGATGATTGCTCTACTTTGGTTCATGCTGAATGGCTCCTCATTTTTCTATATTTATACAACATATTGCCTCTTGTTTCTTCTAGTTAGGGAAAGTACTTTGGTGTCGCTTTATAGGTGGATCTTGAGACAATTTAACAGACAACAAGTGGTCTCGTAGACTTGTAGAATTTAACAATCATTAGTTTATGCATGGAAGAAAACAATGTTTTGAGTTGCATACCAATAACAACTCCAACAATAGTACACAAAGTAGTATCATATTCCTAGATTTAACAATACCTCTTTCTATCACCTCCTCCCCTCTCCTCCACATCATAATAAAATCCTATGTGGCATTTCATGAGGCAGCTGGTGTTTACCAATGTACTTGACCTTGTGTCTTCTGTTGTTGCAAATGATTTCACACAAGAAAATTTATAGGTTTCAGTCATTAGTTTTACATCTTGTATTGCTGAACTGATGTTCTTAATGTTTAATTTTTTATGTCTGCTAATCCATGATATTAACAAAGGTCTGTCTGCTATTTATCGGTATTTACCCATGTGTCACCAGCTTCTTTACAAACACACTCATTCTTCCTACAATAAATGGACCAACGGAGGGCCTGATGCTGATCTATGTATCCCATTTGTTTACATTTCTTACTGGTAATTTCCCCTATAAGCAAATCTTGATATGCATTAACTTTCTTCGTCAAATCTCTGTTACATTCTTGATTGTTCTAAAATCAGAACGTTTACTGCAATTCATGTTGTTTGTTCTCTTAATCTAGGCGCTGAATGGTGGGCACAGGATTTTCGGAAATCACTACCCTTTTTGGGTTGGATTCCACTTCCATTTCTTTCCGGTATGTACTCTTGGGACTATGAGATGACGTCACCATTTTATGCGAACACATCATTACTTTTTCCTTTATGCCTTATTGGCATGATATTTGATTGCAAGCATATAAGTATTTCTGTGCTCTTTGCTACAATGCGATATCTGTTTCTTTAGTCAACTGAGTCTGTTTGCCAGAAGCACAATGCTCACGGCCTCACATAATTATTACTGTAATTATTTCTAAAGTTCTTCCTTTTGCTTGTTTCAGAAATCGAAATCCCCTTGTATGTTCTTGTGCTGATTCTTATGATTGTATGTGCTGTTATACCTACTGTTAGATCCAAGTAAGCTTCTCTTCCTTTTCCTCTACTCCCTAACTGCTCTTTGCATTGAGCATCCAGAACTATTATGGAACTACACACAAATGCTGATTCGTCCTGTTTCTTGAATTGATAAATGTAACTAGTGACTTTGGGACATTCACCTCAGTACAAAGCAATAATGATAATTGATAAATGTAACTGTGATGCGTGTCCCATATTTGCTAATGATTAGTTCTACCAATATGTTACTGACCTTTGTATTCGTTCCCCAGAACTGCTTTCAATATCCTTCCATTTTCATAAATTTTCACTTTCTTTGCTAGTGATTTCAATAAAATTTACCACAATGTGGAGCAAGAATAATAGTTAATTAATGTAACTGTGTTGCATATGATCAATCTTTGCTTAGAAGTGATTCTTTTGTTGTCCAGTGTCAGCAATGTCGAAGAGGTAGTTGAGACGCGAAAAGGAAGCATGGCATTAGCATTAGCCATGGTAAGCTTTTGACTTTTCCCATATGCGGACAGTATATTGGCTTGCTACTGTGCTTTTGGAAACAATAAGCGATAATACATTTGAAAATATTAAACCCTAAGCAAGTAAGCAAGGAAGGGTTAGTTTTTTTTTAAAAAAAAAGAAATGTGTATTCTTTTGCATACAGTTTTCAACTTTGCTCCCATTAATATAACTTATTTTCATGAAGTTTATATATGTTTGCATTGCCAGTGCTGAAAAAGCTATAGAAAACTAGTTCCCTCCAGAGCATTTATAGCCTCCTAGAACATCTAAGTTGTCAATGTGAGAACTCTGCTTTTGTTTCAATATTATTGCCTCTTTAGTTTATATTACATAACTATCGTGTATTTGGCAGTCTCAGGTTGCATGTGCTGTTATTTTATGTTAATGTTTGTTTTCTTATGTTTTTTTATTCTTGGCTGCAGATCCTCCCTTTTATTGCACTGTTAGCTGGAGTTGCTATCTGGTATGCCAACTGAAAAATGTATCATTGTTTATTGTATAGGATAGAGCTTCGGAAATATATATGATACACTTAGGTCCCTGTTATTTGTTGTGCAGGTCTTATCTTTCTCCTTCAAGTATAATGAGGAACCAACCACATTTGCTCGTAATTGGAACTGGCTTTAATTTTGGATATTTGGTGGTAAGTTTCATTGCTGTTGTTTTTTGTTCTTAGATTATTTAGCTTAGGAAAAAGTTTAAATTACTCCCGCCAAGTTTGTCCTATGTCTACATAACCCCCTAAACTAACATTTGGTTCAATTTACTCCCTCCCAACTATTTCAGTTGGTCTAGTTTACCCCTTAACAAGATTTTTTTTTTCTGCACATGTAAGTTGATTAGTTGAGTTTTAATATCGAATTTTGTGAGGTAATAGAGGACATCATAAGTTATGTTAGAAAAAATATATCTTAATTTTTGGCCACTATTTTGATAGCTTAGGAAATTTAATAATAAATTAACACTAGAGATACAATATCGTACAAAACATAATGATGAAAAATGAATAATGTATTTTTCTAGCACAAAATATATGTCCTCTATCACCTCACAAAATCTGAAACTTAAAAACACAATTTGTACATAGAGAAACAAAAAAGAAAAATGTAAATTGGACCAACTAAAATAGTTGGAGTGAATTGGACCAAATGTTAGTTTAGAGGGTTATCTGGCCAGGTCAAACTTGTGTGATAAAAACGGAGGAGGATATATATAAAAAGCATCAATAATAAACAGAGTTTTATATTTAGGCTTCGAAAATTTAAATAGCAACCTCGGCACTACCCAGGACCCAGGTCACACAAAAGTCATCTCAGTCTCATTAGTACTGCTGATATAGAATATAAAATAACAGCACATGCAACCTGACAGAATATAAAATAACAGCATACACAAAAGCCTCAGGTTTGATTGGAATGCATGAGTCAAGCAGTGCACCTGATGACTCATATGAACATCAGATTAGACTGGACTTAATTTCTGTTGTTGCATGATGCCTTTAGTAATGTGTGGTTTTCTGAAGGGACAAACTCAGTGCAATACTAACACACTATCACTCATTTTGTTTATATCTACAAATACTGCTCATCATCTTATAATGTGAATAATCATCTTTGAGCAGGGAAGAATGATACTTGCTCATTTGTGTGACGAGCCCAAAGGTCTAAAATCTGGGATGTTCATGGTATGGCTTTGAAGTCTCCTGTCTTCTCATCTTTATTTAGGTGCCAAGTGTAGGCCACTTTTTAAGTACTGACTAAAACCTCTTGTTTCAGTCTCTGGTGTTTCTTTGTTTTCCGATTGCAAATGCTCTCATTGCAAAGATCAACGATGGGTAAGCTCTTAATGTGTTTATTCCACCTAGTACTGGTAACATCTGAAAGACAGCTCTTTTATGTTTACACTAAATGACTCGATCTTCTTACTGGCAGGAGTCCTTTAGTTGATGAGCTTGTGCTGCTGCTTCTTTATTGTGCATATACAGGTGAATTTGAGCATTTTCAGTTTCATACTTGCATCTTATGATCATTTCTATGGAATCTTTCCTAGGCACTAACATTCGGTTTGTCCACTCTGTTTAATAGTATCATGCTTTGTGGGCCTAAAGAGCCCGTTTAGATTTATAAAGTGCTATTTCAGATAGTACATTCTCATTTCCTAGCAATGGATCACTAGCACCATAAAACTTTGGGAAAATTGTGTTCTTGCCCTTGTCCACTAGTCCAATTGTGATTTTGCTCCTGCTTTTTCAACTTTGTATTTTTACCCCTGCTATTTTGAAATGAATGGTCCGTTTGCCCCTGCTTTAGACGTCCGTCAGATGGACATGGATTAAACGAATTAAAAAAATTATAAATCTGAAAAGCAAAGGCGAAATGACCACACTGCCCTCTATCCTTATCGCCTCATCCCAAACAGAAGCACGGGTCGCCTCATCCCAAGTCTCATACGCGGTTGCATCCGGTCGCGGGCTTCCGGTGGCGGCAGCGGCAGAAGAACCAGCGGGGCGGGGCTGCCTCCAGGGCGCGGGGCGCGGCTGCCTCCTGGCCGCGGCGGCTGCATCGGTGGGGCGCGGGCTTCCTCCAGGCAGCCGCGGGGAGGTCGCGGCGCCCTCCCGCAGGTCTCGGCGTGCGCGCGCCGGGCGGCGGCGGCGCCCTGCCGTGGGGCTCCGGTGGCGTCCGACCGCACGTCCCGGCATCGCCCGCCACAGGCCACACCGAGCGTGAGTAGCGAGCGCACCAGCAGAGCAAGCGTGGGGGCTGTCGGCTTGCCACGGATCCGCCGGTGCCGCCGTGCCAGCCTCCAAGCAACACCGTTGCAGCGCTGCGTGCCGAGGCAGGGACGAGCGACGGCGATTCGGCAAGCTCCATGGATTCCTGCGTCCGCCAGGTCCTAAAGGAAGAAGCAAAGAAGCATGACCGGAAATCTGGAAGCAGCAGCCTGGCTTCAGTACAAACGGAGTCGCCGTAGCCTGGAATCTCGCATCTATGTAGTATGAGACTCGAATACTCGATCTCCTCACTTGTGTGCTCAATAATGTATATACAAGACTCGATCTCCTCTCTATTTTGTTCGATGAGAATACAAATTGTGTCGATATGCTGCCTATGAGGCTGGGTTAGAACCGACCCGAAAAAACTGACCCAAAATTTCGGTTAGAACCGAACGCCCAGGCCTAGTCATAATGCTATCAAAATACTGCTAAGGCACTGCCAAAATTTTAAATATTTTTTTGGATATTAAATCTGAATTGAAATAGTTGCAAGTTGGGCCAAATATATTTGATCAAATATAAATGTCTAATTCCCAAATCAGGGGCAAAATCACAAATAGGCATAACAAACAAGGGCAAAATCACAATATTGATACAAAGCAAGGGTAAAAATGCAAGAGCCCCTAAAACTTTGCCTTTTTCTCGTATTGCTGTTATACTGGGTATGATCAGGGAGACCAACATCTACGCATGTGGCATTCTCATGCTCATAGCATGTAACTTTGCATCTCAAAGTCTAGTGTGTTAACATCTATCTTCTGGGACTATTATCCTTTTTATGTCGATATTTCTGCTTGGTTATCTGTTCACACAGCGTTTTACATATCACTGCTCCATTTTCCTGTGACAGTGGGTCTTTACCTACACCTTGCCGTTTCGGTTGTGCATGAAATCAAGGATGCTCTTGGAATCTATTGCTTCAGGTATGGAAACATTTGTGTGGCCCTACTGTTCAGTAAACTTCTATGCTTAACTATTAACCAACTTTTTTCACTGCTGCTGGTACTGCTGACAGGGTAACTAGGAAGGAGGCTTGAATTTGTTGTAGTCCAGATATATATTACTTCTCAAGTGCTAGCAAATCCGTCACCGTGGACGCTGGAAGTGTGCCCCTGGAAACGCCACAACCATCTGTTTGTTGTGCGGGGAGGGATCTAGGAATTGTATTGCATGGTTTATCTTCATACAACAGTAATGTACATTACGTGGGTTGCAGATGTATGGTAGTAATAGGGTCCTTAGAAGATATACGATGAAATTCATGCTCGGAGAAAGTAATCATAGCAGGTGATTGTCTCAGTGTTTTCGGTTCTCAAAATCTATGTTGAGTATGGTTGCTCATCTGCTACAGTTTCTGCCGTCAAGATCGTTTCTTTAGCTTCTTTGTGATGGCAGGGAATTTGGCCAAGCCTGGCGGCTGAACGCGGCGGCCCGAGGCATCTGATAGCTGTCGACGGCCTCTTTTCCGTCGCGTGGGCCGTACTTCGGGGAAGAAAGGAAAGAAACAGTAATGGCGGCCTTGGGCCCTCATTCTCAGGCCCAGTTTGCTATGCTTATTTGCCTGTCGGGCTCTTCACGGCTCAGCAACCTGACCTGTACAAAAAAAATGGGCCGATATATATTGTGGAGTTTACCAGCATCGTTAGCACCGTTCTCCTTGTATTCGACAACACACACACACAAATAACAGCGACCAGTGGGCAAGTTGTGAATGCCAATTGGCAAATGGCGATGCTCGGCCACCAAAAAATGGTGATCATGACAAAAAGCGACGTTGGCGGCTTCATCCGGAGCCGCAATGATACAGACCGTGCCACCATGGCCGTACCTACGCCAAGGACACCGGCCACCGCAGCCCCGCACACGAGAAGCCGAGAACGAGAACGTACGCACACGTCGCCGGCCCCTCCCTCCCTCCCCGCCCCCGACGCGTCCGCTTCCTGCGCGCCCATACCGGTCGCGAGAGGGCAGAGAGCCCGCCGAGCGGAAATCATTGGCCTCCAGAGCTCGTGCAGCGTCGCCAGCCGAAACAGCGACGGCTTGGTGGCTTCCGGTGTGGGGAAAAGGAAGAGTGAGTGGAGGGCGGCACAGGCACAGCCGCACAGGCGCACAGGGCAATCGATGGCAGCGTATCCGCGGCAGCAATGATGCGGCGCTTTCCGGATGGGCAGGAGGCCGGTGGATCAGGGAGTCCCCCGATGAGGTTAGTAGTGGCGAATGTAGACTGTGTGTGAAGTGTGGAGTGGACGACAGGTGCTGCCGTGCAGTTGGAAAAATCACAGTACTACTAGCACTTCCGTCCCTGCGTAAAGGCGCGATACCGTTCGGCTGCTTAGTTATCGGCTTGTCAGCTTTATTCAAAATCGTTCAAAATCATCCAAAATCTGATCAACCGAACAGGCCTGATAGGATTTCCAACTTCGCATGTGTTTGGTTTGGGAGCCAAATATAATGGGTTGGGTCCATCCCACTTCTTTACGTTGGAATCAACCCATCTCTTGTTTTGTTATAGGGATAGGTTCAACCTAGTCTTCTGTTTGGTTGGAGCATACATTGGATTCGAGTGGTTTCATTCCTTTTTGTTAGAGGGATGAGGGTTGGTAGGGAATATGATCACCTCTTTGGTGAGATTACCACACATTGCAAATATCTTCACTTCCAATCAAGTTCAAAGCATATTCATGAAAGGAAAATAATATGCAATGACACGTACAGAATCCCATGCATCAGGTTCAAGCCTTACTTATAAAGCAAGTTCAAGGCATTACATAAGTCCAAGCCCTACATGATAATAATTAGATGTAGCCTTACACATCAGGTTCAAGCCTTGCTGAAATAAAGCAAGTTCAAGGCATTACCTAAGTTCAAGTCTTACATGATATAAGTTCAAGGCTTACACAGTTGGATAAGTTCTACCAAAAGAAACCTTCCACTCATCCAACATCACTCTTACACTCTAGGAAACTTATCACTGATGAACATTGAAAACCAATGAAGTTGGTTCTCGTATGGCAGGTTATAGAAAGATTTAGCAATAGTAGGGTTGGAACACAAATGAAGATGGAATGCAGATACGTGGACCGAATTAAAACCAGAAAAGGTATTTAGGATCTAAAATAGGTCAGGTGGCAACTCATTTTCTGGTTTGCCAGCAGTTTTTATAGCTTCAGCAATGTTCTCACCTACACTTTTGAATACGGCAATCAGCCCCTCCTCCTCAATGTCAACAACCTTGGTCTAGTAGCAGATGATGGTCTACTAGTAGATCATGTTGCCCCTTGAGTGGTATGACCATCACTCAAACCATTTCTAGTAATCTCCTCCTCATCTTGGCTATCGGCCTCATCATCTTCTCTACCTAGTGCTGCACTTGAGTCCTTTGCAAAGTTTTTTGTAGTCATGCTATTTCCAAATATTGCCTCCATCTCTTTATAGTGCAAGATGGGCTTGTTCAAAAACTCAGCATCAGACTTATGATCCTAGAATGGAGAAAAAACTGTTGTCAAAATATGAAATGATAGAGTCCAATTACAAAAGAATTGAGCAACAACTTTACCTTCACATGGCCATTCTATTGCTCATCATCAAGTGTAATCATGCAGTTATCTTCATCAAACAGTGCAACACTCAACTTCTTAAGTTTAAGTATCTTTGTCCACTTTTTTTGCCATGTCTTTAAATGATTCTTGACTTGGTCACCGATGCGAATAGTGTTGAACTTCTCATTGATAGCCCTAGCACAACCATTGTAAAAATGTTTCTTGAATCCCTTTGATGTCTTCAAACCACTAGCCACCAAATCGGCCAGGTGACTAAGCATGAAAGCAGACATTGCTGATGTCCATGTAGCATGGCCGCTAGTTCCACCAACTCCCTCAACTGCATCCTCCATTGCCTGCCATACAAACACAAAATCAGCAAGAAGAGACCCACAAATAGGAATTTCAGCAAACGTTACACATGATTGAGCAACAAATACCTCCTTACAAATGGAATTCAACAACAAATATGATCTTACAAATGTAACTCAGCCACAGATATGTCCTTACAAATGGAACTCAGTCACAAATATGTCCTTACAAATAGAACTCAGCCACAAATATGTCCTTACAAATGGAACTCAACAACAAATATGATCTTACAAGTGGAATTATGCTACAAATATGTCCATACAAATTCAATTTTGGAACAAATATTAATTAACATTGTTATTTTGCCGGTCTACCCACACTTGATCTGCTAGTTGCTGCCTGAAATTAACCATAGCAGCATGCTCATTTGCTTGGCCAATGCGTGTTGAAGCATGGTTATAGCTAGACAAAGTAACATCCTCTATAAAAAAACTCATCATTCCCATTTTGTATGACCGAATTGTGAATGATGCAGCAAGCACAAATAATATCTACTTGTGTTGGAAAAGGGAAGAACGGGGTAGCATCATCAAGAATTTTGAATCTTCGCTTTAGTGCCCCAAAAGCACACTCTACTGTCACACGAAGAGATGAGTGCTTAAGGTTGAATAATTTCTTCTCATTTTGCACTGGATTAGTTCTCCACTCATTCAAGTGGTACCGGACACCACAAAAAGGGGGCAAAAATCCAGGTTTGGCTCCATATCCAGCATCCACTAGGTAGAATTTTCCTATCATTTGAGAGACTGCTAATCTATTACCTTATGGAACACGAAGGCTATTCTCACATTCTAAAGCATCTCGTAAAACTAGAGCATCATGTGATGTCCCCTCCCAACCAGCCAAGACATGTGAATCGTAGATCAAAATATACGGCTATCATTACATTTTGTGTGGCAAAGGATTTCCTACCACGAAAGGCATGCTCAATATCCTTAGGTACAGATGCTCTCACATGTGTACCATCAATTGCTCCAATACAATCCTATTTTTCAATATGTTTATATTAGGGACCATATGAATACAAATCTCAAATCTCCAAAAAACAAAACAAGTATAAGCCTCACACCTTAAAGTAAGGATCCCATCTGGAGCTCCCTGCAATTTTGCTTGGTATGTCCATAGACGGTGGCCTAATTAGTTCCCCTCATAGCTCGCCAATAGCACGTAATACTTTGTTGAAATAGCAGCTCATCGTTTCTCCCGATCTATCAAAATTAGTTCCAAGTAACATATTCCTAAGGTTATGTCCCACAGTGTTTAGAAACATACCCACTTGTTGCTCAACACACAAGTGGATGGTATCTTTAAGTAAACCACGATCTCTAAAAAGTTTGCAAAACCAAAAATACTTGTCTCTGTTAAGTCTTAACATGTTCAGACAAGTTGTATTATCCTTCCAAATTTTGTTGTTTAGATATTCTAGTCTAATCCTATCCCTTTTCTCCATAGGCCCATAGGTAATACCAATCCTTCTTGCATCACGCTTACGTTTTCTAGTCTGAATAATCAAGGCCATCATTGACAACATGTATGCAGCAGCTGCAAAAAGTCACAATCTTGGTCCTCTTATCCATCTATAATACAAGAATGATTTTTAAACCAATAATGCAACCATGGCATTGGTTCTGTTCAAAATCGCTTAGCAAATAAGTTAAAATTTGTAGACCACACAAGATGAAACATGGGTTCCAATTTCTACCAAATACAGAGATGAGTTCACATGCTAGGGTTTCTTACCTTGGCTGCAGGGGACGAGATGGCCGGCCGTGGAGGCCCAACCGTGAAGGGCGACGCCTGCAGGGGAGGGAGGACCGGCTGGAGGGGAGGGAGGTGAAAGCTCTAGTTTGGTTTTAATGAATTGATGAAACCCTAAGTGCTAACCTAGTTTATCAAGTGATCATGAGATAGGTAGCACACTCCAAGTGATGAAGCAAATAAAGATCATAGCATGATAAAGATGATGGCATGGTGATGATCAAGTGCTTCGACTTGAAAAGAAGAAAGAGAAAAACAAAAAGCTCAAGGCAAAGGTATAATTTGTAGGAGCTATTTTGTTTTGGTGATCAAGACACTTAGAGAGTGTGATCACATTTAGGATTGATAGCCGTACTATTAAGAGGGGT